AAAACTAGAGAGAATCGACGATTTATTTCGTCTTGATGTAAGATTCCTCAGCAATGATCAAACGCGATAATACAGTTATAAAATATGAAATATTGAATGTTAATTTAATTCAACGGAAGGGAGAGACGCTTGTTAGGAGACTTGATCGCTCTGAATTTAATACCTGGTTAAATTATAAGTGGATAGTTTTGATGAATCTTATACTATGGCAACAGAGCTCAATAATACTCACTGGTTTGTAATATTTGTCTAGCAAAAGGTTATGATAATTCATGTACAATATTTAGAAATTTAAGTAACCATTTGTTAAGATACAGAATTCAAGGTCAAAGATGAACATTAATACTGGAGAACAAGTACATCTAGCTGATAAGTTTTACATGTGACAAATTGAACGTCTTAAATTCCACTGCTACTTGTAATCCATCTATCCTATAAATCTTTGCGAAATTCATATACGCATAAATAATGATTAGCATGGAATTGTAGCAGCAGCCTCGGCAGCAGTAGGTCTAAACATACACGAATGAAAATGCAAGATTCTCCAATAAAACACATCATGCACCAATCGAATCACACTTGATGGAGAAGATTTGAAAGATATAAACACCTTCACATATCTAGACACCATCATTGATAAACACGGTGGATCTGAAGCAGATGTGAAAGCGCTGATCGGAAATGCAAGAGCAGTATATTTACAACTGGAGAACATCTGGAACCCAAAACAATTGGCAACCAACATCAAAGTCAGAAGTATCAATACAAATGTCAAGACAGTTCTACTGTATGGGGTGGAAGCTTTAAAAACCACGAAAGCCATTATCCACAAGATACAAGTGCTTATTAACAGTTGTCTACATAAATAAATTTAGATCCATTGGCCAGACACTATCAACAACAACCTACTATTGGAGAGAACAAACCAGATTCCAGCTGGGGAATAAATTATGAAGAAGCGTTGGAAATGGATAGGACACACATTGAGGAAAGCACACAATGGCATCACCATTTAAGCTCTCATCACATGGAATCCTCAAAATGAAAGGAGAAGAAGAAGGCCAAAGATCTAATTCCGCCGTGAAAATGTTATCAGACATGAGAAGAATGAACAACAATTAAATAGAACTAGAAATGAAGGTTGAGGATAGCGCAGATTGGAGAATGTTGGTCAGCAACCTATACTCCATCACGAGTAACAGGCATAAGTAAATAAGTATGAGATTATAAAGATTTTGAATCTTAAATATGCACTGTTAAAAAGTCTCATACTAGAACATTACGGCCATCTAGTACTTCCAAATTTTCAATAGTTCTCTAACATTGATCAATTTATGATCTCAATTAGAAAATAATAATAAATCAATAAATAGTTAACTACTAATTATAACAATAAAATATATCAATCAATCTTACCAAATATAGCTTTACGTATTTTACGATCTCTTTTCTTAAAATATAATTTTTGATTATATGAATCTTTATGAATATTATCAATAATAAATGGTTTAAAATCTCTTGGTATTGTATGATAAATTAAATCGTGATTTTGATCTAAATTTAATTTTTCTCCCTCTTCTTCTTCTTCCTCTTCTTCTTCTCCATCTACTTCTCCTTCAATTGTTATATCATTGAAATTATTTCGTGATAATGAACAAAATATATGACCTAAACTCATTGATATAATCAATATTGATAAATGCTTTCAATGAATTAACAATGATTATGACATGGAGATAAATATGTAATCCTATTTCATAATAAGTAGTATCTCTTGGATACAAATTATTATTATTATTATTATTATTATTTGCTTATTATTTATAAATATGATTGAATAAAGCCAATTACAAATGTTAAATCAACCTTTTTTGTTTTATAAATTAACTTAGATACTAATTAATTAAACAACAAAAAAAAAAGAAGTATTTCGTTGATTTGACCTTGACGGTGTTCAAATTTGATTGGATAATAGAAAAGATTTGATTTTACACGCCTACACTTTAAATACACAGTAACTGTGTATTAATGAGTAAAGTGTTATCATGAGAACAACAACAACAACAACCACAAAAAAAAAACTAACATAAAGATAAGTAAATTTGACAACAAAAAAAACAAAAACAAAACAGAATGGTACTAAATGAAAAGAAATGTATCCATTTTCTTTTTCCTATTTGTAAAGAAAAATTACTAAAAACGAAACTATTACGTACGCAATTATAATTGTCTTAAGTAAATGAATATATATATATTTTAAAATGAGTGGTTGAATTATAGTTACATTTCAAATAAATCAAGTCATATATACAACAAGAAATTGTAAGAGGATGGAGAAGATTTGTAGTTCGGTTGGATGATTTTTAATGTGTTTTTTTTTAAAAAGCTGTTCCATTGATGGATGCCATCAGTTCGTCGTTGTTGTTTTAAATATCCTTAACCTCTATCACTAAGGGATTTGAATTGATAGCTGAATCTCTGTGCTAATGTGGTATGGCAACTCGAACTGATGTACGTACGTACGAAGTTCTAGGTTATTACTGACTGACTGACTGAATCTGATCCAGGAAATGTATGGGGAATTTGATGAATTGGTTGGATGAATTCACTAAATGTTTCAATATTTGTGAAATTTCTCTTAACAAATTGTATGTTGGGGTTCCAAGGAGTGCTACAATGTTTGTGGTTTATTGTAGAATCAAGGGAATACTAATCCATTGATCTTGCTTTGATATTTGTCCTGTTGTGACAACTTTGCTTAAAGTCATTTAAATTTCGTTATCATCAAAATTAACAACAAAATATGCAAATTTCAAAGATTATGTCATAATGATCAAAAGATTTATGTCAGTTGTAGTCGGTATAGAACCCGACACAGTTATGAATTGTAAAGAAAACACAACAGATGACTTTAAATATAGTGAAATATGATTATTTTATAGTTAAGCAATTGGAACACATATTGGATATTAAAGAATTTCAGTTGTGGTGGAAAACTATTGAGTGAAATCAATGAAAACTTTAAAAACTATGACAGAAAAGTCACTGCTTAATAGATTAATTGAATCTTTGTTAGTCTGAACAAATTTTGAACATGAATGAATATACAGTTCATTTTAATAATTGAATTCATGAACTGATAAATGTTTGATCACCATTTAAAATCTGAAAGAACTGGACGATCGTTTCGTTCTACTATGGGACTCCTCGACAATGTACATGCATGATCCCACACGCAGGACTCGAGATCAAAGGTCTTGGATTCAGTATCAGTATTTCATTAGGATTTTAATGTTTGGTATTTAATACACTAATAGAACAGGGTACATTCATACGATAATAAAGTGTGGATAAAATGTATGAAATAGAGAATTTATTGTTTACCATAGTTCAGGTACTTTATCCATTAAACAATAGCAAAAAGTAATCAGAAGACCACTATTTTATGTATATTTTTTAAACCAACCTAACTTTTAACGTAAAAATAGCTGAATGATTTATTTTGATTGATATCAGAAGGGGTTTTGTGGAGATTATAGTAATTTTAATAGTTAAGATCATGAGTCAATGAAGCTAGACCATCATGGGAAACCTGGAAGCACTGGATGGCCGTTTTGTCCTACTGTTGGACTCCTCAGCAATGAGCATCAACGATCCCGCTTCATGGGATTTGAACCCAGCAACTATCAGTCTCGCATGCGAGCACTTAACCACTAGACCACTGAGCTGGCCGACGTCCAACAGTGTTAATATCTAACTTCAACTAATTCACGAAATTTAACGATTAGTTTAACAACAGAACAAGTAGTCTGATAGTCACAGATCAGAGTTTATCGTCTAATATACCCAGAACTACTAGGGAAGGTGTAGTAATCGTGTTTGTTGTTAATCCATATGATGTCATTGACAATTGGTTTCTGTAATCTCTAATACTGAGTTCTATCGTATCACAAATTAACAGGATTATTTAAAGCATGTAAGAATATTGATAAACTAGATCATCATTCTTTGGTAATGGATATAAATAATGATTTCTAGTTAAACCAGTAGGAATTATTTTTATTTTGGTTAGACCATGAAGCCTTATATTCTCAATGATACAATAAACTAGAATATATTGAAGATAACACTAATATTTCATAAAAATTTTGAAGAAATTCTTGATCTTTTATCTATGCAAGGAATCCACTATTCATCTAGAACTATCTGACGAGTTCCTGTTGAAAACTAACTGTAAGAAATGTTTACAGCCTTTTTACGGGTTATGAAGACTTTTCAAAGAAATCCGCGAAATCATAACATTGGTATTTGAAGATTGTTATCGGGAAGTGCTACATAATTTATTCATACGAGTAAGTACTCCTAAAAAAAGGTGTAGATGCGATTTTGAGTATGATCCTGGTCAAAATTAGCGTAACATCATTGAATGTTGTGGTTCGAGACCTTATTACTGAGCCATACAAGTAGTGATTAACCTCGTGTCAAACTAAGATGTTCACAGTAGTCAACACTTGCTAATATTTAACCTAATAATACTGATGTTCATAACAGGGCCCAAACTTGGTACTTTTAGTTTCAAATTTCAAAGTGGTATTTGTTCAGATAAGGAAAAGCACTGAGTTTAAATTTTAGGTTGAATGTCAACTTTATGATCCAACTACATTCAACTGATAAGTCTCAGAATAAAAAAAAACGAAATTCATGATCTGTATTTCATTGTTAGTTAAATTTCGTCTATTCTATATAAACCTGTGAAATAATAGTTATATCAAGGGAATCCTTATAAGATACACAGTTATCAACCAAGACTGATCAAAATGTAATCAAAATATCAACAATAGAATAATCAAAACCATTGATATTTCACATTAAATATTGATTATCACTTTTTTTTATTATCTAATCAATATTATTCTCAATAAGATTAAATACAAACAAAAGATTGAAAATCAATAATATTGATCATTTGATGAATCAATCAATTGTTATTTAAAACTTACTTTTAATCAATAATGTTTTTGATGATAATTGTAATGTAGAAGTTTCCCATGGAATAAATTCTTTAGTAACCAAATCAATACATTGTATTGGAACAGTTAAATCAGATAGATGTGGTCGTATAACATCTCTATGAAATAAAAAATGTAGAAGTATATATATATATATATATATATATATATATATATATATATATACTACTATATACTATACTATATACTATATATACATACTATAGTAAATTAATGTTCAGTAACTACCGTTACTAGATGGCTTATGCTCCTCCATGAGGGATAGCGGGTGTAAGTAAATAGTGCTGTTAGAAATATGGGGACAGTTATCATTTCCCGGTTACCCACACCATGGAAGGGTTCTTCTGGAGGTACCTGAAAAGGAAATTAGATTCGAGGTGGTCATAGTGACCTGAGAGCGTGACCTCAGTGCTCAAGGGACAACTACTTGAGGTCGGTCACATACGACCTTTTTGTCAGTAATTTTCGTGTTAGCTCAATACGTGTTAAGACCTTAACGTCTGAGACAGAAATCCGTGGGATAAGACAAAGTGTGCATTTTTAGGATGGACATTTTCTAACCTCACCCTTACTTGTGGGAAGACAGAATCACTGTTATGCTGGTCATTTGAAGGAAACACCTTACTGTTGCCACACCTCTGTACAGTCAGCAGTACGACTTCGCCCTTGGATCTTGGGTTTGTTGCTTTTAGTCGTACCGTTCTTTAACTGACCTTAAGGAACGAATACTCTAGTCAATATATCTTGATTGGTTCATTACGATCGGCAAGCCCGAACACCATGTCAAGGAAGCAGCAACGATTAGTTGTAAGTAAGTAAGCGACCCTTTTCCAGATAAACATGTTTTAATATATTCGACTTTAAATCAACTGATTTCACTGTTTGAATTTCCTTCTTCCTATTTCAGCTGTTATGCAATATTTATAGATCATACACAATGTATAAATGTTAGATGAATTAGATTTGTTTTTCTACGATTATTTAATATATACATATAAATTTCATATTAATTCATGGATGAATGTTGGAATAATGTTCAAGGATATTAATTACGACTTAATATATAATATAAACAAATTGACTTTTGGATTTACTAACCAATCTAAGCTAAATCATGAATCGATCGGAGTTAGACATTAATACCGTTAGATACTGGTTCAGTGGTCTAGAGGTTAAATGTTCGCGCTCCAGACCAAAAGTCATGGATTTCAGTCCCACATTGAAGTTTGTGGACATATACTGATGAAAGGTCCCATACTAGTGGAAAACAGCCATCCAAAGGTACCAGGTTTCCAGTGATGGTCTAATGTAGATTGTCTAGTGAATTCAACTGTTAGTACACTAAAATCTCCACAAATCTCCATATTGATAACCAAAATGGATTAATCTAATTACATTCATCATTTATGATAGTTTAACATTTCAACTTTGAATTAACCAATTCTATCAAGAAAGAAATATTTCAATAGTTGAAATCATGAGCCAATTGTAGCTAGACCACCATGGAAAACCTGGAAGCACTGGACAGTCCTTTCGTCCTAGTATAGAACTCAGCAGTGCTCATCCACGATCCCAACCCTCGCAAGATTCGAACCCAGGACCTATCGGTTTTGTTGGATGCCAGCTCAGTGGTCTAATGGTTAAGCGCTCGCGCGCGAGACGGATAGTTTCTGGGTTCGGATCTTGTGAGGTGGGAATGTGGATGCTGAGGAGTTCTACAACAGGACATCGAGTGCTTCTATTGAAATTTCTAAAATCTCCACAAAATGCCTTCTGAAAGAAATATTTATTAACTTTCACTAACTAAAATTCTGTTCTCTTAACTAGGATTGATTTTAATAATAAAGTTCCAAAATTGATCTTTGAATGAAAATATGTCACTCACTCTAATCTATCCGAAGGTGATGGATGTAACTTTAATTCAACACCATTCCAGAAGCGTATTGTAAACATTTTTGTAGAATGTGATACGTTCTCAAGATTATTACACTGTGTGATTGTACAAATATGAGTTTTATATTTGGAAAAAGAAAAGAAAATAATAAAAACGCTTTTTAGATGCAAAAAAGGTTATGTCAGTGTAAGTCATGTATTAAACAAAGTAATAATCATTTATAATACGATGACTCGTATGCAATCATGATACTGAAGCTATAAAACACTAATGTATGATGCAGTGAATGCTACATAAATTACTTACTTACGCCTGTTACTCGTGATGGAGTATAGGTTGCGGACCAACATTCTCCAACCCACTCTAACATCGGCCTTAATTACTAGTTCTATTTAATTGTTGTTCATTCTTCTCATGTCTGATAACATTTCTCGGTGGAATTAGTTCTTTGGCCTTCTTCTTCTCCTTTCACTTTGAGGATTCCATGTGATGAGTGCTTACCTTGTGATGCCATTGTGTGCTTTCCTCAATGTGTATCCTATTCACTTCCACCGCATCTTCTTGATTTCTTCCTCGGCTAGAATGTGTTTTATTCTCTTACATAGTAGGTTGTTGCTGATAGTGTCTGCCCAACGAATCCCAAGTATTTTGATCAGACAACTGTTAATAAACACTTGTATCTTGTGGATAATGGCTTTCGTGGTTTTTAAAGCTTCCACCCCATACAGTAGAACTGTCTTCACATTTGTATTGATACTTCTGACTTTGATGTTGGTTGCCAATTGTTTTCAGTTCCATATGTTCTTCAGTTGTAAATATACTGCTCTTGCTTTTCCGATCAGCGCTTTAATATCTGCCTCAGATCCACCGTGTTTATCAATGATGGTGTCTGGATATTTGAAGATGTACATCTTCCGTATCTTCTCCATCAAGTGTGATTCGATTGGTGCATGATGTGTTTTATTGGAGAATCTTGCATTTTCATTTGTGTATGTTTAGACCTACTGCTTCTGAGGCTGCTGGTACTCTGTCTGGAGCCCTTCTTTGGCTACTGCCGGTTCTAAGTCCGGATAAAGGATGAGGGTTGGGCATAAGGTTAGCAACCCCATCCTGTAGAAAGCTAACTCTTAAAAAATACGCTAGTCAGAATGCTACATCCGAAATTTGAAAATGTATACAGTATGACTGGGTAAGATGTTTTATCTCAGAGTTCATGATCTCTCGTTAAATATCATGTTGATGAATTACGTGGTTATATTTTGTAGTTCAATTTAGTTCATATTCCAAGGACTGATAATTCGATTGAATGGAACGTTCTGTTAGTTAAAATCATATGTATATGTAAGTTGCACGTTTAAATGATATTGTGACATAGGTATGGTAACTCTCTAACGCTAGCTCTCTTACATTTCTGTAGATGTGATTACAGATCATTTTTTTGGCTTATCTGTTATCATTGTGCAATTAGAATGCTTATTACAGTCTTCGTAGCTGCCTGCTATAACCCCAGGCTACTTCTGTACGTTAATTCAAACAATCGAAGAAAAGCGTGAAGAGTGAGTATGAGCTTTACTACTAGGTTAATTTACGTCCATAAAATCTGGAGTATTTATAGAGTTGCAAGTAACTTTGGTTTTCTATAACTTGCTGTGAATGTACTAAATACAGCAATTGTATGTCGAAGACTTAACAATTGTTCCATCCTTCTTCTAGACAGTTCCGATACGCTTCTATCGAATCTTGGTTAATTTAAACGTCTCCTGGCATTTTCTAAGCCTCTAGATACTGTGGCTAAAAGGATTCTGATACTCGCCAACAGTCTGGTATATTCTATTTAATTGAATAAAGGCTGTACAATTTTTATCTCAAACATTACCCAATTGTATTTCATTGACATGATTATATGTTAGATATCTATATATTATCATTTCAACTCCCCACCCCTCGAAAAAATGAGTTTCTTCAAACTTTAAGGAGCGAGCGCTTAACCATTAAACCAATGAGCTGGCATCCAACAGACTGACAGATCATGGGTTGGAATCCCTCGGCGGGGGCTCGTGGATTCATACTGCCGAGGAGTCCCATAATAGCACGAAACGGCCCTCAAGTGGTTCCAGGTTTTCCACGGTGGTCTAGCTTCAATTGACTCATGATTTTAACCAGTGAAATTTCAAAAATCTCCACACAACCCCTTGTGATACTAATTTCAATTAGTTTAAGCTTAAAGAAAACATCGGGAAACCTTGCAGAAATATCTTAGTTATCAAGATCTATATATACATATATACATATGATCTAAATTAAACCAATATAGTAGACATATATAATTCTCAATTTATTATTATTTTTTTATGTTTTTCTTATTATTGATTTTTTATGAAATTTCAAATATTCTTCAAAAATATTTATTTATTGTTTTTTTTAAAAAAAATAATCAATAGAAAATGAGATATTTGATTTTTTTTTAAAAATCAATCATTTTTATTATAATTTCAATATTGGTCATTGAATATAGATGAACCATAAAAGCTGATTTTATTAAAATACATTATAGAAATTTTTTTAAAAAAACGAAAAAAATTTTTTTCTTTTTTTTCTTTGAAGGTCATATTTCAATCAATATAATCAATTTTTATATTTTATTTTGTAAGTTATCATTTAGCTTTGTTAATCACCAATGACTTTGATAATTGTTAGTACATAAATCTCAATGATATTTGAAATCAGAAGGTGTTAAAGAAATGGCAAGTACACCAGTAGATCACAATATACACAAAGGGAAAAACAAGATTCTCCAATAAAACACCAAATGCAACAATTGAATGACAATTGACGGAGAAGATTTGGAAGATATAAATACCTTCACATATCTAAGCACTATCATTGATGAACATGATGGATCTGATGCAGATGTAAAAGCGTGGATCGGAAAAGCAAGAGCAGTATATTTACAACTGGAGAATATCTGGAACTCAAAACAATTTGCAACCAACACCAAATTCAGAATTTTTAGTACAAATATCAAAACAGTTCTACTGTGTGAAGCGGAAACTTGAAGAACAATGAAAGACATCATCCACCAGATACATGTGCTTATTAACAGTTGTCTGACCAAAATACTTCGGATCCATTGGTCACACACTATTAGCAACAACCTATTGTGGAAGAGAACAAGCCAGATCCAAGCGGAGGAAATAATCAGGAAGAAGCGTTGGAAATGGGTAGGACACACATTGAAGAAAGCACACAATGGCATCACCATTCAAGCTCTCATCACATGGAATCCTCAAAGTGAAAGGAGAAGAAGAAGACCAAAGAACTAATTCCGCCGAGAAATGTTATCAGACATGAGAAGAATGAACAAAAGTTGGATAGAACTAGAAATTAAGGCCCATGTTAGAGTGAGTTGGAGAATGTTGGTCAGCAACCTATACTCCATCACGAGTAACAGGCATCAGTAAGTAATAACAGTTTATAAGTTGATAATACGGATACTAAAGTTATAAGTACATTGAACGAATTCCAAGCAGGGAGGTTAATATGTTTGAGCAATCGAATACAGATGCAAATTTATAATCTTAGTCATATTGGTAGATGCAGACTACTTCGTTGAGGTCCGCGTGTTCATCGTAACCAATGGTTGGAGACTCTTGGTGACATGGCTCAGAATCGATCACAATGGCGTTAGTGTATGTACATACTCTTTGTCTTCTATTAAACTATGTGATTAAAATTATTTCACATCTTTCTTTCTACGAACTAATTCTTTCTTCCAGTACTATCTCTTTATTTGCAATCTTTCTTTTATATATTACCATCATTGAATTAACTACTTTTGTGAATTTGATGCTCATGTTGTTATGCTAATGCGGTATGGCAACTCGGATCGATGCATACATGTGCCTGGTCCTACGATGTAGCTGTCTAACTGATTGACATACAGTCAAACCGAATAAGGCGCATCTAGGCAATGCAACTTGGAAAGGTTGCGAATAGGGTTCGAGTACATAATATATATGAGAAAGAGAATGATTCATCGAGTGATATTTAAGCTATCAACACTTTAGCCAGAGAGAGATATGTGTGTAGGCTGTCATATATACTCAAGCGTACACGTTTATATAGGCGAGATAGTGATCATAATAGTATAAAGAAATATACGAATTGTTACTATGCCAATAACATTATCTGTTAGGTAAATTAATAAAAAGGGTTAACAAAACTTAATCATAATTGAAATTGATTGTAAGAGAGTTACTAAAGCTTAACATAACTACTTTATTCCGAGATTTGATAAGTCAGTCAGTAACAACGCAGGACCAGGCATATATATGCATCGGTCTAATTTGCCACACCTCATTAGCACAACAAGGAGAACACCGGATTCATAGAAGTAGTTATTTCAATGGTGGTAATATTTAAAGAAACATTACATATAAAGACATAGTACAGGAAGAATGAATTAGTTCGTAGAAAGAAAGATATGAAGCGATTTTATTCTCTTCGTTTAAAGGAAGACAGAGTGTATATAAACCTACGCCACCGTGATCAATTCTGAGCCATGTCACCAAGAGTCTCCAACCATTGGTTACGATAGTCACGCGGATCCTAATCAAGTAGTCTGTATCTACCAATATGGCTCAGATCAGAAGTTAGTGACTTCAAGCACTGATGCCTCATTTTGGTTTATTCACTCCTAAGTTTCGTCCAACCATCCACAACACTAGTCAGCATTGGGTGTTCAGACATATGTAACACGTGGCCTAACCATCTTAGTCGATTAATATTCACAACCTCATCAACTCTATGAGTTAGATTTTTAACCAGTAACTTTATTCAAGTTGAATTAATCAGACTTCTAATAGAATACCATCAGGATCCAGAGTTTAGCAATATTGTAAATAATACACTTATCCAATGATGATATCAACTGAACATTTAACTGTATTACAATTAAACCAAAATGATATATAAGTATCATTGCCAAGATTGGATTTGATAGTTTTAAACCAATTGAGCATTGGTTAGAAAGGTTATAGTGAATATATATATTCTTTTTGTTATATTCTAATGAGTAGATAGATTGTATTACTGA